CGTTTTTTTTTTTTCTTTTGTTTTCTGTTTTCATTGCAATTATTTGCTGTTTGTATTTTCCACGTTCTAAATGAGGAGAAAGATTCTCACTCGCATTGTTCAGAAAATATCTGGTCTTCCTTTTCATTTCCGTCACTCAGAAATTCCTCGAAAACTATTTCACAAAACAAAAGCATCCATATATATTTTTTTGATCTGATTTATTGGTTTTGTTATGCATGTGAGATACGATTGATGCTTGTGCAGTTGTGCGGAACCTAGGAGCCGAGATTTGACCGTGAAAGAAATGAAAAAATATATATTCTCAAGTTTAACAAGAAGTAAACTTTTGACAAATGACAATCTTGTGTTTGTAATATAGATTGCGGCATATTTATTAAATATAAATAAATGTATAAGATGGAGAAAGAGAGAGAAGACAGTAAATAAGGGCACCTGCAATGGGTGTTAATTTGTCCCGGTTTAAACGCCAAGTTGGCGTTAACACTTTTGTGGGTGTTCATTCCTTTAGTGGGTCCCAGGATTTTGTTCAATGGGCTGAATGCGTTCAGCCCTTATTTTTACTTCTTTTTTTTGTTTTAAATCAATTTTATATTAGTTTCATTTTTTTATATTAATTTATTTTTTATTTATATTACACTTCCCAATATTGATAAATTCAGATTTTATCTATATCACACTTTTTATTATGTATCAATAATTTTTTCTTTTATAATTTTAATTTAAGTTATTTTGGTATCGTAGTATTCTTTCATTTTCATGCATTTAAAATTTATTATTATAATTTAAAAATATTAAATTTTATTTTTATTGAGAATAGTAAAAAGAGAATAGAATATGAAACTTATATTGAATGAATGGATAATGGGTCTCATGTATGTATTTAAATGAATGTGTAGAAATATAGGTGTGTGTTTAAATGGAGAGAGATTTAGTGAAAAGATGATGTGGATGAGAAAGAGTGTTACTTTTTTATTGAATGAAAGAGATGTGTGTTAAAGGGTTGTGATGCCCTAACAAGAGACAATGATTGAAGCTGTAAAATAGTAGTTTATTCATTCACATGATGAGCTATAGATAAATTATTATTCATTACTAATGAGTTTTAATGTGTATATTTTTTTTTATGACATGAGTTATATAATTATAAAACTGGATATATTAGAATAAAAATATTAGAAATCTAAGTGTGTGATTGGATATAAATTCAATAAAAAAAAATCTCAATCAAAACTTAAATTTAACTCAACTTCACTATCATAAACAATATAATTAAATAATATCAACCAATCATTCTTACACATCATATCAACTTTAATTACTATGAATCCACCCACGTGATTTTAATTAACTATCACTTCTCATCATCTCTCTCTTATTTTTACATCAAATCAATTTTAATAATTTTATTTTAAATATTATTTTAATCTAAACTTAAATTTCTACTAATAACTAATCATACAATATTTCTTTTTTAATTGTAATTATTTTATTTTAAATATTATTTTAATTTAAACTTAAATTCTCAATAACAACTAATCATACCATCTTTTTCAAAACTAACTATAACTAACAAAAAAATCAATAAAAAACCAATCAAACCCATATCCAATCACACCTTAAATACAAGAGCTTTGTTTAAATTGGATATATGGGCTCACAATTTATGGTTTTGAAGTAACTTAAGATTTCATAGAAGTATTACTTTGCCAAGCCAAAATTCAAACAATTAGCCCAAGAAAAAATAAAACTAATAGAAGAAAAGGAAATACAGAAACAAAAGGCGTAAGTAAGACGGTCCATTTTCTAACCCATTCTACCTGCTTGCCAAGGGGAATGCCCCCACATATAAGTCTAGTAGTCGTCCCTTACTCTATCTAACCGCTTTCAGTCCTAAGGTCTTCTTAAAGCGAGACCAATGGATGTAGCAAATAAGGGAGAGCTAAAGTTCCCAGTATTCCAATCGCGGCCAGCAGGTAGATCGAGCAATCACTGGAAAAGTATGGCAACGAACTTGGCTCCCCATCTTCGTAAATGTGTTTAAATGTGTCTTTTGAGTCCCGTTCGCCTGGCTTTCGTCACAAGATGGATTCCGCCTTCTTTCTATGTGGTAAAGATGTCAGCCAGCTGAGTTGGGGTTTGGGCTTCAAACTGAAACTCGAAATATCTCTTCACTAACTAGCAAACTTAGGGATTCAATTACGAGTCAGAAATTGAAGGTTCCCTCACTCCGGCCTATCCGACGAAGTTACTCCCCCCACCGCGTTCGGGGGTAATTGAGGCTCCATGTAATTGACCTCTAAAAACGGAAGAATCAAGAAATTTAACTTGAAGTCTGGTAATGCAGAGCATATGTCTAGCTTTACTTATACTCTGAAGCAAAGATTTGAACTGTGAGGATATCAAGTAAAATGATCGAGAAAGAAGGAAAGAAGACGTATCATTCAGGAATTGGAAGTTCAGTCACCTCCAAAATTCAAATTTCAAAGCCCCTTCAAATGAGATCATGCACAGAAACTGTTCGATAAAATGCCAAATAGAGCTAACAAGTGATCGATCAGGTTCTGCCACTCCTCATAGGTATAACTTATTCCCTATGTGATTCTCATATTCTCTCAGTATAAGTAGTTTAGTAAATATATCTAATTAGCATGTGCAAAAAATCAATTTACCGTTTTATCAATGCTGTTAAACACTGTCGACTGCCACAGGGAGCCTCAGGAAACCAAATATCTTTGATTTTTTATGGGATTTGTGTGCAAAAATTTGGATTTTTGACTCAAAATCTGACTGTTCAAGCAGCTTATTCCAGTGATTTTACATGGTTTGAAATCCCTTAACAGTGAACCGAAACCGGCCCGTCTAAATTGAAGTTCCCGGGCCAAGTTTGGAGCTGGCCTGTTTTATCGTGAAACAGTTGATTTTGTTTGGAATTGTGAATCTTTATTTGTAAATACGAAGTTCAACAGTGCATCTTTATCATGTAGCAATAAGCAAGTTTGTTTCCAACAATTAATATAACTCTTCACTTGTTCATTTTCACCCTCGTTTGATCGCACGTTTTAAACTACTAGATAGATGTGTTTTCTATTTGAAAGTAGTGCTATAAGAAAAGCTAACTTGAGCCGCCGTTAAGCAAATATTTTTTTAAGTTGATTGAGAAAGTCAAAACAACTAAATGGTTTGAGCCTATAAGTTAGCACTTAAAAAGAAGTTAGTTAAGAGTGTGATTAGATATGTATTTGATTTTTTTATTTTTTTTTTCAAACGACAAATATATTAATAACTAAAAAACTCAAACGAGTACAATAGGAGTGCCAACTGACACACAGGAACCAGAAAAACTGAACCTACCCTCTCGAAAGCACATTTGTGTCCGAGAGGTACAACCTCCATCAAGGAGTCACCCGCACACACAAAAAACCCACCTCCATAAAGGAGACTAGAACTCCATAAAGGAGACTGGAACTCCATAAAGGAGACTGAATGCCAGACGCAGCTGGACTTCTACGCACTAAAAAAATTAAAAGATAAAAAAAATACACCTAATATACATAACTAGAGTAAAACCTCCCCTAGCCGAACAAACAAACCACCGCACCCCCTACACTGAAAACCGAGACGTACCCACAATACTAAACTCCAAACGAATAACAAATCTAGACTTTAAACTCGAAAACTGCGGATACTCAAACCACTTAGACGAAATTGTCATTCCAGATCTGGACCCGAAGAAGCTCGGCACCGGGGGAAGATGGGGAAACCGCAAAGATAACGCCGGAGGCCTTGAAACAAAGACCCAAGGAGGCACCTTACCGCACGATCGAGCGGCCCGACCGGTCAGGCAATCCTGCGGACAGCCCGAACCACCGGCCACCAAGTTGCAAGCCGACACTTCTACAAGGTGAAAAGGCGAAGCACGCGAGGTTGAGCACCGACATCTCGACAAACACCCGTCGCTGGGCGGAGGCGGAGGCTCAAACAGGAAGTCGACGGCCACCACCGGAACTAGGAAAAAGAGGCTGAGAGACGAGAACCATGGCCTAATTCCCGCTGGGCTCCGGGAGTGGCAGATAATATGCCTCCACCTGCCGCCGCGACTCGGCCGAGCCAGGAAGAAGGCCTACAGTGGCTGTTGCCGGCTAGGAGGGGCACTAAATTAGGTTAGATTTTTTTGATTTGGGGAAAAGGGGAAGACAGAAGCAAAAGGTTTTTTAGAGAGAGATAGATTGGTGTTTTTTTTAATCATTGTTAAATTTGAAAAATGTGTATTGTTAGTTGTTAGTGGGATTTTGAGCTTATATTAAAATCATATTTAAAATAAAATAATTAAAGTTGATTGATGTAAAAGTATGAGAGATATGATGTGAAGTGGTCATTAATTAAAATTATGTGAGTTGATTAATAATGAATTAAAGTTGATGTGATGCCTAACAATGATTGATTGTAGTTTTTAATTATCTTTGTAATATGAGTATATTAGAGTTGATTGATTGTAGTTTTTAATTATTTTTGTAATATGAGTATATTAGTGTTGAGTTCAGAAAATGATAGAGCTAAAAATG